TTAAATAAATTGCCCGATTCTTAAAAACAAGAATAAAAGAAAAAGTAATGCATGAACAGCGGCATTTCCACAAGCATGATGGAATTCACTTGGGGAAGAAAAGCAGTTGATTAGTACTAAACTATAGTTTTATCTATGCAAACTATTAAGGGGATCTAAAAAGGTTAAAAAAAATTGAGATTCTTGTATCCTGAATAGAAAGACAAAGTTGGACATAAACACCAACATACTATTTGGGATTTTCCTTTCCTTTCCCTGTCTTTTTGAACTCGAAAACATCAAACCTTAATGTGTACTACTGGTGCTTGTGCATTAGCCATCTCATAATGGTCCTTGTGCACCATTGAACTTGAACAAGCAAACTTGTTTTTAAACACTATTCATCCGACCTCTAAACATTTACAAGTGCAGCCCTTTGCACGAATAACATTCCTCCAATCCAAGACCGACATGACATTCAAACTCAATACTCAATATCAATAATCAAGGTAACGGTCAATATATCCAGAACTGGCAATGGCGAAGACTCATCACGTATTCAACAAAAACACTCATCAAATCAAACAAATTATTGCATAAATTCAACAACCAATATTCACATAAATTTTAATAGGGAATGCCCCAAAGGAAACAATGAAAATGAACAAACTGAGAGAACAGCTCATACCAACCTTTACACAGGAACTAATCCAAACAGAAACTCAGTTCCCATCTTCTACACATATTCCACTTCTTGCAACCAAATCATGCCAAGGATCATTCCACAATGATGCATTCATTTACTGTCGAGGAAAACACTTTCTCTTGGTTTATTTGCACTCCTTCACGTTGCCAATAATGCTGAAATATAAAAATCCAAGAGCAAACAATAGCTTTTGGTCGCCTCTGAGTTGGATCATCAGTCATATGGCATCCTTCGGAAACCGCATAACGTAAATGTGGTTTTGTCCCACACACCCAAAGAATTTCACCATAAGTCCAATGCAAACCAAATTTCACCCAGGAAAGGCCTAATAAGGCTAATGAGCAAGGTTGATATAAGAATAACAATGAGAGGAAAATAAAAAAAAAAAAGAGAGAAAGAAGATTACATCATTTTCCATTCTCTAGTTACCTAAAACCTAACATCCATATAAGCAAAAGCTCAAACAAAAGAAGAAACATGACCGATTTCCCTTGGAGAGGCAGCAGCAGCAGCAGCTTCCTCCTCATCTGAAGTTGCTGGGGAATCAGTAGCTTCGGCAAGAGACTCGAGCATTGCTACAACTTCGGAAGAATCATCCAGATAGTACTTAGCTTTGCTCGGTTTTTGCCCCACTGTGCACCCAAATACTTCAGTGTTGTAAGAAAGGATGTGCCTAGACACTGCACTACCAATCAGCTCAAACATATCCTCATCTGATCGGTCGTCACCTATGCAGAGGACAAAATCAGCCTGTTTTCCCTTCTCTGTCATTGATGTAAAAACCTTTTCTGCAACTATGCCTTTGCTAACACCCTGCATTATTTTTTAATTTTTTTTTTATCCATGTATAAGGTTTTTTTTCTATTGAAAATGAAATACAGAAGAAACAGGGTAACTCTGAAACACACAAAGTTAATAAACATTGACATTTGAAGAAAGGGAAGTAATTAAGTGAAAAAGAGCAAAACTTTAGAACTGAATAGCGCATACCTGAGGCTTGACCTCGACAATAAACTGCCCACTCTTCACAGCAACAGGCTCATTTGCTAAAACACTCTCCAAATGATCCAACATTTCTTTTGCCTGAGAAAAACCGAACCCTGGGTCGGCATCGTTATAATGCCAGACTAAGGCACTTTCCTTCCTCTCAATTCCTGAACCATCAGTAGCCTCAGTGTATGATTTCATGACAGGTTCTGCCATTTGCATCCAACCGAATTCGGAACTCTGCCCATATGTTTCCCATTCTTCATGCTGTGGCCACCTGCAAAATTTCGAACAATGTAATAAAATGTAAATCATAGTTTTTCTTGATAATCCAATAAACTTCAGGAAACTCATGATGCCAACCGCCAGGAGTATCTCAGCTGGCATATGCCTCACTATAAGCGATCCTTAGTCTAAAATAAAATAAATCAGGGAAATGAAGACCCAAAAAAGGCAATCTAAGAAACTAAAGAAAGATACTAAATTTTAAGCTACGATCAGCCAAAAATAGATAATAAAACGTGAATTTTGGTCTTGTTTCAATTGTTTATCTTTCTCAGTGTTGTTAAATAGCAGCCATCACAACCTCAATTTTGCCAAAATTTGCCTATATCTGTTACAGATCTAAATCTGTAAGAAATCCTAATTTCTGCAGGAAAGAGAAAGGAGAAGAGCCACCTTCTGGCGAGCCGCCCTCCAGCAATCCTTGTTTCTTTTTTTCTTTCTATCTTTTTTTACTTTTCCCTATTCGTTTCTTTTTCCGGCCTTTCTCTCTTTTTCTCCAGTTCTTTTTGCTCTTTCTACTTATGGCTATTGACTCCCTTCACTTTTTCACCCTTTTATTTATTTTTTATACAAAAATTAATTGTCCATAGGATTCTTTGCTAAAAACTAAAATGAAGCCAAAAAAGGGTACCAAGTGACCATACAAACGACGGAACCCACTATTTCTTTATTGATTTAAGTTTTGTTTTTTATTTTTATTTTCAGACACCTAGCAAAAGAATTTGTTTTTTTTTTCTTTTGTATTTCAATGTGAAATACCTAAAAAAAGAAGAAAAAAAATGTGGCCAGGAGGGTTATTGTAGCTAAAGGCATTGCAAGTATTTTATACATTAGGAAAAAATCATTTGGTTTGGTTATTAATAGACCAGGGCAAGGAAAAGGATAACTTAAAGAAAAGAAATGAATTAGTAATCGTCAGAGTTTTCAATGGCCAGAATTAAACAGAAATAAAAAATAAACTTAGTCTTTCTTCGTTTTTTTTTTCAGCTCTTTTTTTGTTTTAATTTTCAGCTCTTCTGTTAAAAAAAACATTTTATTTTAAGCTGCCACGCCATCCACCATATATATAAAATATCACCTCATAAACAATTTATTCCCATATATATGACTAGTAACTTGCACAGAACATCCAAAGCAGATGAATTTCTAGGGGATGTTTACTACGGTTTAATGGCTCAAGCTGTTTAAAGACTTCATCAAGTCTTTATGGCGATTTCCATGCTCATAGTGACAAAAATCAGTAGAAAACAGTTATCAAGGTTTTTCTTTCATAGCAAAAAAGCTAAAGAGAACGAGACTGACAACAAAGGGAACATGTTCTGTCATATCCAATATAACATGGACTACATGAAATTTCCAATTTTAACAGACCAGCTACTTGTTTATCAACTACAATATTCCCAAAAATTGTAAAATGAAAAAATAAATACCTTTCAAGTTGTAATTGCTCTCAAAGGGAAAACAAAATCACTGAGAAAGTTGCATACCTTATGAAGTAACCATGTTCAGCAGCAAGTCCCAGCTTCTTACAAGGATGAAACCACTTGTTCAAGCAATCCCTCCCCCTTCCACTCACCATAAAAACTATATTCTTTGGATCCCCACATAGACTGTTCAAGAGAGAAAGAACTTGTGGGCTTGGGGTCTTAACAATTTGATTCTGAGGCATCAAGGTGCCATCATAATCCAATAGTATAGCCCTGCTCTTGGACCTACAGTAAGCAGAAACAATATCATCTATGGAGAGCTTTCTAAAATTAGGATCAAGCGCCACAACTCGAAACCCAAATCCCAGACCAATGCCCCAACATCTTTTCCTAAAATGATCAGCACAAGTTCTCTCCATATCCTGCAGGAAGCTTCTAGACCAAAACGCCACATCATGCGTGCTCACATAACGGTAATGCTTCTCATGCCGAAGCTCCTTCTCTGACTCGGCCATCGATATCGACTCATTCATGGCCTCAGCAGTTGACTCCACATTCCAAGGGTTAACACGAATTGCGCCACTCAGTGAAGGAGAGCACCCGATGAATTCAGACACAACTAACATGCTTTTCTTGGGGCCAGCCAAATCTGACCCTGTCTCGACACCAGATACTCCTTGTCTGCATATGATGTATTCGTAAGGAGTCAAGTTCATCCCATCCCTCACAGCTGTCACCACAACACATTCAGCAATCGTGTAATAAGCCATTCGCTCACTGATCGATATAGGACGGTGAATAAAAACTATAGGCTCATACCCAGGTGACCCGAATTCCTTATTTACTTTCTTGCATGTCTCCTCTATTTCAGACTCTATTTCCTCCAATTCTATCCCTTTACCTCTAGCAGGGTTAGCAATTTGCACCAGCACAGCCCTTCCCTGCCAATTCGGATGCTGCCTCAGCATGTTCTCAAAAGCCAAGAGTTTCAAGTTGATGCCTTTGAATATGTCCATATCATCAACTCCAAGCAGCACCGTTTTACCTTCAAATTGCCTCTTCAGCTCCTCGACCTTCAGCTCTTTATCTGCTTGCCTAATCACAGACTCAATATGGCCCATATGTATCCCAACAGGCATAATCTTTATCCCGACTGTCCTTCCATAATATTCCAGCCCAATGTATCCCCTCTTTGACTGATACTCCAAGCCCAACATCCGACTGCAGCAGGAGAGGAAGTGCCGTGCATAATCAAAGGTGTGGAAACCAATGAGGTCAGAGTTGAGCAAGGCTTTGAGAATTTCTTCTCTGACAGGAAGTGATCTGTAAATCTCAGAAGAAGGGAATGGACTGTGGAGGAAAAACCCCATTCTCAGGCGAACAAAACGCCTCCTCAGGAATGTGGGCAAAACCATCAGATGATAGTCATGAATCCAAACGAAATCTTCCTCCGGGTTTAGCACCTCAATTACTTTCTGCGAGAACATCTTATTGGCAGACACATAGGCTTCCCACATGGACCTATCAAATCTACCTCCATGATCACCAGAAAATGGCAACATGTAATGAAAAAGTGGCCACAGCTGCTTCTTGCAAAAGCCATGGTAATATTTTGCCAAAAGATTAGGCGGCAAGAAGGCAGGGACACATTTAAATTTCTCCAGTAGATAACTGGCCACATCATCCTGTTCAATAGGATCAACATCAACAGGTAATGATCCAACATAAAGAAGTTCCATGTCCTCTGGCAAGCCATCCTTAACTCTTAGGAGCAATGAATCTTCATTCCAACTAAAACTCCAACCTTTATTGTCCGGCCTTCGTTTTGCCTTCAAAGGCAAAAGGTTTGCAACAATGATCATTCGATCACCAGCTACTGAAGATGGGTTCTCGGATGTAACACTGTTAGCTTGCTCATCATCAAGCTCAACAATATTACCTGGGACTGTCATTACCCTAGGGAAACGCTTGCGCTCCTTCTCCCGACCCATCACTGGAAAATTCCCAGATGCTAAATCTAAAAGATTTGTATAAGATCTTGACATCATCTTTGCAGATTTATACTTGTATCTCTCCTCAAAAGATTAAGCAGCCCCTTGTAACAAATCGGACAAGCCCAAATCCAGTATTTTATAAATACTCACTTTTGAATTACCTGCTGAGAAAAAAGAACACTTTACTCGTGAAATACGAAAAACTAATAGAAGACAAGAGACTCGTTTGAATCAAGAAATGCCAAATGTCTTGAGAACAAGAAAGATAGACAGGCGCAAAACAATCGAGCAAATAAAATCACTGACGGACACTCCCAGAATCGCTGATCTAAGCCAGAACAAGAAAATCAGATTTCCGAAGAACCAAAATATTATTTCCTACGGAATCCCAATCTGACGCGCTTACCGAAAGGTGAAACCGAAATTGGATTGGAAGCCGACCTCTGCGTTTGAACTGAGCTAATTTTTGTTTCTTTGGGAGAAAGAGTCAAACTTTAGCCAGGAATTGAGCAAGTGATTTTAGGGCTCGACGCGAAAGAAAAAGGGCATGATTAATGTAGGGTTTCATTATAAATTTTACGAGATAGTAAATAAATAAATTATTTTAGTGATGGATCATGGATATGAATATTCAGTAGAATAAATAGGTAAAAAATTAATATTTTTTAGATAAATGGATAGAACGAAAATAATATCTGAAAAATAAACGTGCCAGCAAATAAAGAGTCACAGGACTCATCCCTCTGGCTCAGAGTCACAGACAGCTCACAGGCCAATGTTCGAGGAATTCATAAAATAAAGGGTGTTACTATTCACCGCCCCCCATATTACTAGTCACCGCCCCCTTTGGACAATTTTGCCCTTCTCATTTTTTCTAAACATCTCAGAGGAAAGTGTACGGTGAAATGTCGTCAAATTCGGAGGTACGAAAAAATACGTGTACGGTCGCCGGTTCCGGACGGGCTAAAAGCCGTCCGGACGCCGGAACCGGACGGACTAAAAGCCGTCCGGACCGGCCGGCCGGACGACAAGTAATACCGGCCGGAAAGCACGGCCGGACGGACCGTTGCTGTCCGAACCGGCCGGCCGGACGGCAAGAAAGCCGTCCGGAAACGACGGCCGGTCGGAACCGGTCCGTCCGGTTCGGCCGGCCGGCCGGAATATTTTTATTTTTATTTTTTTTTAAATTGTTATGTTATTTATTCGAAATAGTTATGTTATAAATTGGACTATATTATTATGTTAGAAATTTATTATGTTACATTTTAGACTTCATTATGCTATTAATTGGACGTTTATCGTGTTAGGAGTTACAAATTATTATGTTACATGTTGATTATAATATAAATTGGACGTTTAGATATTATCGTGTTACGAGTTAGAAATTATTACATTATATATTAGTTTTAATTATGTTATAAATTGACGTTTACATATTATTGTGATCGTGTTAGGAGTTACAAATTATATTAATTGAACGTTAGATAATATCATGTTACGAGTTACAAATTATTATGTTACATCCTAGAATTAATTATCTTAATTTAACATGTTCTAAAAATTGTACTATATAAATTATTATGTTACATCCTAGAAAATTATATTAATTGAGCGTTAGATAATATCATGTTACGAGTTACAAATTATTATGTTACATCCTAGAATTAATTATCTTAATTTAACATGTTCTAAAAATTGTACTATATAGCAGGAGTCATGGGAAGATTTTGGAGGAGATGGTGTTGATTACAGTGAGCGTTTCGATACATCTTCATTCTATAGTAGTGCTCAGGAGGCTATTGAAGCTGCAAAACACCAGGCAATGCTGAATGGTTTCCAATTAATTATTTCGAGCCACAAAAAGAAAACGGTCAGAGTTTTGAAGTGCCATAGAGGCGAACGGTACAGAGGCACAGGCGGAAATTCTAGAAGGACAAAAACGAATAAGTGCGGTTGCAATTTTGAGATCAAAGTAAAAAAGTTGTCCGGCGTTCCATACTGGAGGATCTGCAGATGTAGCAATGAAGAGAAAAGCTACCATAACCATGCATTTGCTGTGTATCCTGAGGGTCATAGCCAGTTGAGCGGTCTCAGCGCTTCATCTAAGAGAATTGTTCGTGAAATGACGGACGCTCAGGTGGCCCCGAAAAAAATTATGGCCGCGCTGAAGGAAAAGAATCCGGGAGACAACGTTCATGTGCGGCAGGTATATATATTTATATCTTGTAATATATGTTTTAATTAAATTTTTTAAGTTAATTATGATAATTAGTAATTTTTTATATGTAAAAGTTATTGTAATAATTAATAAATTTTATTATATTTAGTAATGTATTACTATTGTGATAGTTAATAATTTTTTTATCAAATTAATCGCATTAATATACTTTTTTATTTATTAATATAATAAAATTTTTGTTTTAAATTACAATAATCATTATAATTAACGCTAATCGGTGACAGGTATATAACTATAGAGATAAGCTGCGGAGAGAGGATTCCGACGGTAGAGACGTTCCTACTCAGCTTATGCATTTGGCCGTGAGCAGCCAGTATACAGTTTATGTAGAATCCGATCCGAACACGAAAGTGCTGACGCATATATTCATGGCCCATCCTGCGTCGATCAATCTATTCCGGACATATCACTGGTATGTCGGTATAGATTCCACGTATAAAACCAACAGGTATGTTACTTTATAAATACTTTATTAGTATGAATCTTAAATAGTGTGTTTGATTAAGTTAAGTTTTATGTGCTTATATTTTTTTTCTTCTTGGTTACATTTGCACAGGTACAAGATGCCGTTCGTCGAGATGATTGGGATGACGCCGTGCAACCAGAACTTCCTGATTGCGTATGCCCTCATCAGGGACGAGAAAGAGACCAGTTACGACTGGGTTCTAGAGAAGTTGAGACTCCTGATAGGCCAAAGCGTATATCCTTATGTTGTTGTCAGTGACAGAGAGTTGGGTCTACTCACTCCTATTCAGAGGCATTTTCCTGAATCAGCCCACTTACTCTGCACGTGGCACATCAACAAGGATGTGGAAGCCAGAACCTACCACCTATTTGGGAAGAATAAAAAATTCTCGGAGATTTTCACGCACAGTACGTGGAAGGCGATTGCAGAGGCCAGTACGTTCGATGCCTACAACGATGCCGTTGCCGAGCTGCGCAAAAAATATTCGAACAACAAAGAGGTGCTACGGTATGTGGAGGGCACATGGTTAGTGCACCGCGAGAAGTTTGTGAAGGCTTGGACGAACCGATTGAGACATTTTGGAAACACAACTTCCTGTAGGGTGGAGAGTGCCCACTCTGCGTTGAAGGAGTGGCTTCAGACGTCCACCGGCGCGCTCGATACGGTTTGGCAGAAGGTTAATAAGCATATCGATAATCAAGTGACTGAAATCAAGTACGTACTGCAATTTTTAAATGCGTTATTATATTACTGCATTAATTAATTATAATCTAACGTTATGTAACGTATTATCAGGACGGCGCTTGAGGCCTCGAGATCTAAGAAGAATACACAGTATAAGGGAATCCGTTTCGCGAGCGTGATACTCAGGGTCTCGCATTACTGTCTGAGTTTATTGGACGCTGAGCTTACGAGGATGAAAAAGTTGGACACCGATGTTTACACGAGCTGCGGTTGTGTATTACAGCTCACTCATGGACTTCCTTGTGCCTGTCTCCTCCGTAACTCAGAAGATTTCGACGTTCCGATTGATCTCGGAATGATTCACCAGTTCTGGAGAACGCTCGAGATATTAGAGCCAGGTAATTTAAGATTAATGTTTTATTTATAATTTTCAATTAAAATACATTATTTGTTTTAATTCATTGACTTTTTTATCGTATACTTGTAGGGACTGGTCATCCGAGCCAGGCGAGCAACGCTGCATGGTCAGATGCGGCGTTCTTTCAGACGCTTGTGACTGAGGTTGAAACCCGCGATCCCGCGACGATGCGGTACGTGAATCAGTTCATGTACAGTCATCTTTACCCAGACCAACAGGATTATGCGGAACCTGAGGTTAAGGATAACCCGCGAGGTCGTCCCAAGAAAACTAATTCAACTAAGCGTAAACCATCTGCTTTTGAGTACAACGAAAAATCGCGAGGTCGGAAATCGAGCCGTACGACCAATTCTTCGCGTGGAAAGACAAGTTCGTCTTCTCAACAGTCACAAGGGGATGAAGGTCATATTTTTTTTTTTAAATACGGCTGAGCGTTAATTAAAGTATTTATATGATTATATAAATTGTGACGTGAAATTATTATGATATTTATTGCAGAGTTTAGACCGACAAATATATTTGGATTTTCATTGTGGCAAAGTATCCCCTGGCATATGTTGGACTACATAGTGAGTTACCTGAATGTGGATGCGGATGGTAACTGCGGATTTCGGGTCATCGCGAGTCACATGTATGGTCATCAGAAGTACTGGCTAGATGCAAGAGAAAACATTGCGAAGGAGGTCGACAACCACCCTGAATTGTACGAGTACATCTATTTTAGAGATATCGAGGCCGGACTCCGTCGCGTAAGGTGGGCCAGAGGCCCTTGTGGATCGACTCACTGGTTCGAAGTTCCGTAGGACCTCTATGCCGTTGCGACCCTATTTAATGTGGTTGTCGTTCATTTGAGCTCTGGTCCAAACGGTGGGCAACACGACTTATTCAGCACCACAGTGTTGCCTCTCACTGCACGATCATCGGCTAGAGGACCATGTCGTGAGATTGCCATTTGCCATCTTGGTACCGTAGAACACTACATTCGTTTAGATTTGACTGATGATTGTCCATTACCGCCTATTCATAACATGTGGTTTCGTTATCGAGATCAATCGGTTGTGGGTTGGGAGCATCAGTACCTGTCTAGGTTGCAATTGTGGTATACTGTTCAAACAAATCGTTCTTGAATAAGAGAACGATATTATTCAGTTATGGCATGACGCTTCTCATTCAACTTAAGTTTAGCAAATGAAAAAAAAATCATTCAACTTAATGTTTTACAATAATAAATAAAAAAAAAAACATTCATTACATTATTATTGGGCATTGTCGTAATCGAACTTAAACTTAGCCAGCTGTTCTTCGACTTCCGCCGCCTCCGGACAGTCTGGAACAATCTGCTGCAAGGTCGATGTAATGCCCAAAAGACGGTCCACCCACTAAAAAAATGAAAGAATAAAAACATAAGACTTAAATTTGTTTAAAAAAAAATTTTGTAATGAGTTAACATTAATTAAAATTTAGTAACCAACTTACATAGGCGGTATTGACACGCGTTGGGACCTCGTCCTCGTCCGGCAGCTCCTCGCCCATGAGAGTCGGATGGGAAACCCGACTGTACCACTGCAGGTAATCCTCAGTCGCCTCCCCGCGATCCTGTGTGGTCTGGGTCAACATACTTGTGTTGACCGTCCCAGACATCGGGAACTGGGTCCAGAGGGATACTGCACCAGCCTCAGAATGCTCAACCTTGTAGTTCCTAGACTCCCAAGCACGTACTGCACTGATTGGCGGGAATATAGGGGGAGGGACAGTCTGGACATACCCCAGCTGACGCAGA